TTAGGGGGCTACTTGGGCTTTGAGGGCTTTTGGGCTGTAGGATGTACGACACTCACCAGCTGCCACAGGCTCTCCGCGATGCCATTGACAGCGCCAGCACGGGCCTCTGCCGAAAGTCAGTGTCAGAGACCGTTTGCGTTTAGGGGTGTTTTCGACTTCAAACTTAGATTCTTCGAGGCTTCGGGATTGTATATAGGCAGGGTACGAGCTCCCTAGGCTTTGGCGAATCCCGCGACTTCAGGCTTCGGCACCGCGGCCTTGTAATATCAAGGCATGTGCCGAACCTGAGCTCCGCAGCAATTATAAGGAGTCCCACCACACCCGTGGCTGGCCGACTCGGCCGCGATGGGGAATATTCCCCCAAGCCTGAAACAAGAGGCTCATAACCATAAGCATAAGACATGTGTGCCTGCATAGAAGGTGACACAGTCTGTGAAAAACAGTCAGAGCCAGCCCGTTTTAATTTTTCAGCTTACGCCCCAACCCAGCCATTGAAATGCGCTTCCTTTCGAAGGAACTGAGACGATGCCCGGTATATTGCTCAGAGGTTTATGATGAACAGCCTCCGTAAACACGACCTGAAGCCTTAAAACTCTGAAAAAGAAGCAAAAGCCCGAGTCACGACACCACGCTGGGCCTGGCTTGCGATTAGTCGGGAGCCACCAGCCACATGTGGGATTATAACACGTAAGGCTTGTAGGTTACATTTCTGGGTAGGGAGCCTGGCCGTGTTTCTGGTTCTGGCTTAATTTCAACTTCGCAAGGACGACGCTGAGAGAGAAAGAGAAAGAAGAGAGAACTAAGGAGCCGAATCCGGGCAGCTTCCAGACATCGTTGGTGCGTCCGTCGAGGCCGCCGCCAGCTGTTTACGGCTTCGGTTCTGGGCATATAGAGGGCCTTTTTTGGATTTTTGGATTTTCTGTGTGGTCTAGGGTTGCAGGGCTTAGTGTGGTTCAGTGTTCCTGACTTACAGTATGGGGTTTAAGGTTTGCAGGGCTTCGGGTTTAGGGGGATTTAGAGTTTAGTGTTTGGCGGGTTGCGTTGTTCTAATTTGCCTTTGCGCAGGAGTTTTGAGCAATATGAGATGGATGTATGTCTTGCGACTCTATGCTCTGAATGAACTCCAAGGCTTGAACTCAAAAAACGGAAAGGCAGTGAAGACGTAAAGTTGCTTGAAGCCCCAAGCCTTACAAAGAGGTCTGGGTGGAGCATGCAGCGGCGATGTTCCTGCTTGTCGATGCAGAGGAGCCTTCACCGGATCCCAGTTCCTCCTGTAGGTCTTGTAGTAATTATTGTAAACTCCAAAAAGTTGGAAACCTAATTAAGGACAAATCGTGCTGGGATTCCCTATACTTTGCTCTTAGGGATTGAGGCTATCGGGTTTCCAACTTTTGGGCTTCTGCTGTAATAGGAAGGTGTCCAATTTCGTCCGTATTTAATTCTGCTTTTGCCTGCCCCGCAGAAAAGCCGTGCCCCACTCTTACTTACGTTTGCTTTTAACTAGCCGCCTACTTGAAGTTCTACTTACATCTACCTATAGTAAGCAAATACTACTGGACCCCTTTTTAAAGCTAGCGTTTCACCAAGGCTTGTTTTTTTTTGGGGGGGGTCTAGTTCTTTGCAGGTCCCAGATCTTAGATTCCACTTGAGGGTCTAATACTTATAGAGCTCATAGGGTTTGTGATTATGGCTCATGTGGCTTTCCGGGTTTAGTGTTTAGGGAAAAAGGGCTTACATATACTTATCGGGTATATATATATATAGGGTTTATGGGGTTTAGAGGGCTCACGGTTTAGATTCGTCGAGGAGGGCGGGTGTTAGGGCCGGCTTGCGTTTCAGAGGTCCTTGGGCTTTCGAAGGTCTCGAGATTTTGTTCGGCTTCAGGGAATAGGGGATGTTGGGCATTTGGGCAAGGCATGTGCTCCCTGAAACCCGGGGCGAAAGGTTGGTCCGCTTTTGAACTTCAGTTGCCAAAACAAGCAAAAGCCTACACCGCTTTCCGAATCCTGAAATTTGTGTTTATGTAGCCCCCAAATGCCGCAACCTGTGACTTGGAAAAGGAGCCAAGTGGGCCCAACGTGCCGAGGCGCAGCTTCGGGGGAGCCTGTTGCTCATGGGAGCCTTTCGGAGCTTATCAACTTTTGTAGGTTTTTCAATTTGTTCAGTAATGACTTTTGTGAGTTCTGCATGGCTTGTGCACCCGATTTCGTAGCAACACCGGTTCTGGTTCTGTTGTTGAAAGATTCTTGGCTCCAGTGCTCATGGTTCGGGATTTGTGTGAAGCCCTCTTACATAGTCTTAAAGACCCAGAAATTTCAGAATGCCTTAGATGCCGTGGCCAAGAGCTAAACGTAAGGAACCGACAGGCCCGAGGGGTTTGGGGCCCCTTGGAAGATCGACTCCGTAGCCCCGGCGTCCGTTTGGCCTCACGGTTTTTCAGGTGTTGGCCCTCCATTACTTGTCACTCTTTGCTGTGGCGACGTTCTGCTATCTTTTTTGTAACCTGCCCTCGCCCGGCGAGGCCCTGGAATGTCCCGATGCACGGAGTGCCCATGCCGGGAAGGCCACTTGCCTTGCAAACGCGTAGAAGGGAGGTTAGTATTCCCGCCTAGCATTTAGAACAGCAAGAGCAATCTCTCTCTGAGCCGAAACTTGCTTTGCCTTGATGGTAAAGTTTTAAACTTCAATCACATGCGCCCCGTCCCTGGACTGTAAAGCCCTCAGTGGTCGAGCTGTCCCCGGACTGTAAAGCGTTGAGTCGTTTACCCCATGCTTCGAGGGACTCGTTGTTGGATCCTTAGTACGGCGTGTTGTCTTAGCCCTAAACCCCGAAAGCTCTAAACCCGGGCACATGTACCAGAGTGAGTGCTGAAACCCAGGCACATGAGGCGACAAGTTATGCTCTGCATGTGGTGCTGCACAGTTCCAGCGCCAGAAGCGACTGATTTAGCAATTTAGCGGTGATGCAGCCTGCCATGGCAACCCCGTTTCTCCCTGGTGATAGTGCTCAGAACATGGCCCGTTGGAGGTGTCATCTTTGCAGCTCCCGAGTTCTCTCATGCCAGAAGTAGTTCAATTTAGAAAAGACTTCGGCCAAGACCTGGACACACAAGCAAATACATTCACAGAAATCATCCTCGTTTGCACGGATTTAAAGTGTTACATGTGCGATCACATGACGGATCTGTTTGGACATAACGCCATCCCTTAAGCCCTTATCTAAGTGCCGGAGGCCTTACAATTATATCGGTTATTATTACTATTTTATTCCATGCTCTCTCTCTCTCTCTCTATATATATGTACAGGTATGTGTATATATATATATATATACAGACATGTATATATATATATATATATATATATACCATCTGATCTTCTCTCGTCTTCTCTTTTATTACATCACATAGTTTCATTTTGAGTATGTCTTGTATTATATACCGTCTACCACTCTAATATGACACGTCCTTTTAGAATGTATGACACGCCACAGGCTGGAAGGCCAAGTCCACCTCTGCCTTGGAGGCCGACCCTGAGCTCTGTGCAGCCGATCCTTTCGGAATCCTCCTTTTTCAGACTTTAGTGCTTTGGGTTCGAGGGTTTAGGGTGTAGGATTTAGGTTTGGATTTAGGGTTGTTGCCATTTGGCCAGGCCAGACACTTCGAGTGCCTGTGTGTGAGAGAGAGAGAGAGAGAGAGAGAGAGAGAGAGAGAGAGAGAGAGAGAGAGAGAGAGAGAGAGAGAGAGAGAGAGAGAGAGAGAGAGAGAAAGAGAGAGAGAGAGAGAGAGGGAGGGTTTAGAAAGAGAGGGTTTAGGCTTTAGGGATTTTGTATAGCGCACATAGGACCGGTTTATGATGGTTTATGGCTTGTATCGTGGAAGGCTAACATTAGTAGGGGAGTCCAGTATCCCCGGTTTCTGATGGTACTGTTGAAGATCCTTGGCGTGAGGACCTGCTAGTCAGGTTTGTGTTGTAACTCGTTAACCGTTATGTCAGAATCTCCCATGGCCCCGGCCCTCAATGCTATAACTTACCGTAGATTCTAACACCAAACCGCCTGGGAAGGATTCAGGGGCTCTTCTTCAGAAGCCGAGTTCTTTTTATTGAGCAGGAGCAATGGCTTTCGCGGTGGAGCCTGCACCTTGCACATCCCAAGCTCCGAATACAAAGGTGGTTCTGGGCTATGGGCCTTCATAATTAGATTGACTATTCTTTCGGTGGCAAGGAGCACGCTAAGGGTGTCCCGCTGTCCGGGCACCAGCATTCAAATGATTTGGTTTGCTCACGTAACCTAGGATCCTGCGCAAGCGTCCCAGGACGGTCGGAGCCGTTCCATGAGGACTACCGAGTCAACCCGCCCTCAAGTCTGGAACCGCACATGTCGCCCAACAAAAGCAACGAGCCTTTCAACCGCACCATGCATATCGGACTAAGTGGAACCCGAGATCAGCATCTTGATTTCGCCGCCCCTGCTTTACCCGCTCAAAGCTTGGACATGCACCGGTTTAGGGTTTAGGGTGTGGGCTTTTGGGTGTCCGAGGCACTTGGTCTTGGGCTTCGGCCCTGGGCCCGGTGTAATGCTCAAAGCCCGAGATGCGCGCATAGTATGCGATTGACGATTCCACTACCATCATGGTAGTAGGTGCGCACAGAGGGCCGCAGACAGTAGCCTAGGTTACAGTGCTTCTATAAGCCTGCGGGTGTAACAAGACAGCCTTGGAGGAACAGGCAGACTTCTATCTGCTGACTCCTGTGAGCCCTTAGAAATAAGCCAAAGCCCAGGCCTTTAAAACCACCACCTGGCTGGGAGAACATGGAAGAGCAGAGCAACCCCAATTAATTCTGACTGCCTTGGCTAACTGAAATCACCTAAAGCACAGCTTCTTCGGTAGGATTCTGGGCATGGAGTTTCCTTTCCTATATAGAACCCCACTATGAGCCCTAAACTCCAAAAACAAACAAACCTAGAGTTACGTAAGCTTGAGATTTTGCCCGCCTGGCCATGGCCTTACCTCTGCCGCCGCTTTGTGGAGACCATGAGAGTTTCCCGAGCGGCACTGGTCGAAGGGTCCTGCTTGAAAAACGCCCTGATCTAGGGCTTACGGCTTACGGCCGTAGAACCCAAAAACCCTCAACCCCAAAACCGTATAAACCCTAACACTGAAAAAGGGCCTTAATCTAGGGGTCTTGAGTAAGTAGAAACACTGCCCCTGGCGAACATGTTAGTCAACCAGTGTATATACACATATATATATATATATATACATATAATACAACAGAATATGATACAATACAACATAATAATAGCAGTAATACATATATATATATACATATATATATATATATATATATAGTTTATGTACTTATACTAACAATGTCGGCCCCTATTTCGTGCTAAATCCTGAACCCAGTGTATGCTACCAGTCCTTCTTGGGGCTACCATGTTCTGGATCCTATCGTTCATTCGGCCTCACGACACGCATAAGTATAATCCTTGAACCTGAGATTCGGCTGAAACCTCACTGCACGGGCCGTGATGCTTAGCACATGGGGTTCTTTAATACGGTCTATACTACTCTATAATCAAATACCAATATGCTCAACATCCCTTTCCAGCTATTGAGGCACCTGTTCAATTTTCGTGAGTTTGTCTACGGGGCTTTGAGGGTTCAGTTTTGGTTTGGTGTGCTGAAGGTTCTATGGGCTAGCGGCATTCGTCGTTTGCCTTGTTGGGGCTCCGGCTTTTTAGGGTATGCAGTGCTTTTGTACGGCTCATGGAACTTATCCGCCTTAAAGGGGGTATATGCAAGGATAAAGGGCCGAGTTTGCCGAATAGTTCGTGCTGAATATAGGAGCCTCAACCCAGTCCAGTCCTGGAGCTTCAAGCGTCGAGAAGGCCCAATTTCACCAGTTTTTGAGAGCAAATCGCGGGGGGGGGGGGGGGGGCCTTTATTGATCATCAGTTTAACGAACATACCACACCGTTTCTGTAGGGCTTCTGATGCCCGAACGCGAACTCGATTTCTGCAGAGGTTTAAAGTTTACGACTCAGGAACGTAGATTGTGTTTTGATGCCGATTTCCATCTCCAGGGAGTACGGAGTACTTACAGGGGCCGACTCGCCATTACCCCAACTCTGCGTCAGCAAGGCTTTGAGGCTTGCTCACACTCTTGCTGCGGGTGGTGCAATAGCACGAATCAGTGCCTTGGCAGGGTCATAAGTCAGCTTACCAGGCAGCTAGTCATGCCCCCAGCGAAAATCTCTCCCGAAGTCCGTAAACTCCAAACCCACGCCCTCAACAGCAAGACAGCTGTATGACTTCCTTTCAACGAATATCGAGTTCCGAGCGGGTTGCGAAGTACTTCAAGTATGGGGGAGCTAGTCCTTAAGTGCGGGCGAGTGTAAGGTACATGGCTATACATTGTGCTTTTGTCAACAAGGGATCAGCTTATCACGTTGACGCATATCACTTTCCCAGCAAGTGCTCAAAAGCAGGCAGCAACAGAGGCAACATCTGGCAAGAGCATGCAACCGGAAGCGATTACCAGTATCAAAAGGTTGCCCGGAGCCGACAGCATGCCCGAAGCAAAACTCAACTTTTGAAGTAAAATCTCGCACCCAAAGCCTCGGTCTTTCCGCAAACCCGAACTGCAGTCAAAGGCAAGGGCTTGTAGTGATCGCTGGCGTTGGCTGTCTTCTAGGGTGGCTAAAGAGCCCTGATCGGATCAAACGTTTGGGCGAAGCGTTACATCATAACATTTTCACCGATGCGACCACTTGGCCCGCCCAACGGTCATTCAGGAAGATTCTCTGACAAGCTGCATATTCTAAGGCAATACATGAAGCAGCCCTAGGGCTCCTTCGGTACACATCGTCGTGAAGCCTCTCACTGGAGGGGCTCGGGGTTGAGAAGTTGGCGGTAAGCTGAGGTGTATCACTTCGCTGGCCTTTCTACGAAGATGCAGCGACTATGTGCAGACGGAGTCCATGAAGGAGTGCTCCAAAAATCCTAGACCCTGACGACCCACGAAAGAGAAGCACGCCGAAATTCCCAAAGGCAGGAGCCCAGAAGGCCGCTAATGGGCCCTCGCTAAGCCAGAAACCCCACCACTTTCGAGGAATCCAGTCTCTAAAACCCCAAGCAAGGACGCCTGCTTCAAGTGGCAGACGGATTTCTGGGCGTCCATGAAATGGTGCCTTGCCTGGCCGTGGGATTTTTCGTTGAAATACGACTGATGGAAGTAATTAAGGACCTTCAACCATGGCTTCCTTGCGCGAGTGTACGAGTCGAAACCGAGAGCTCTTCGCTTCCGACCCAAGGATCCCAGATTCGTTTTATGCAACACAATCAAACCTCCAAAGAACTTCGAGGGATTAACTATCAAACATGTAAGGAGTTCATGATGGTTCCAAGGGCCCTATAGAAAGTTGCTCGCTTACCCAAAGAGTCCTATGTACTGTTATGGGGAATACTTCCCTAAGCCATAATAGTAATTCCCAATATGGAAACCCTACATTCTGCTATATCGGTAGCCTTAAACCCTAAACCCCTAAACCTAAACCCTCATTAAAGCCTAAGCCCCTAAACCCTAAACCCCTAAAGGTACATAGGACCCTCTGGGTTAGTTCTTCTCTTTCGGATCCGAGGATCCTTCATGGACTGCTCTGGCTTGGGCTCGGCCTCCTTGGCTTGAGCCACATCGGCTGCAACCAGGGGTTTCAAGGGCCGGAGAAGTAGTAGTGGTAGTGGTCGTGCAACAGCAGTGACAGTGGTAGTAGTAGTAGTAGTAGTAGTAGTAGTAGTAGCAGTCGTCGTAGTAGTAGCAGTAGTAGCAGTAGCAGCAGTAGTAGTAGTGGTAGTAGTAGTAGTAGTTGTTGTTGTTGTCGTAGTTGTAGCAGTAGCAGTAGTAGCAGAAGTAGCAATAGCAGCAGCAGTAGTAGCAGTAGCAGTAACAACTGTAGTAGTCGTCCTTGGTAGTCCTTGGCGGTTTCAAATATGTGTATCAAGTCACACGCCCCGAAACCCCATTCTGATTGTGAACGCCCCTCTATTGGGTGTGAGGATCTATAGTGGGGTTTAGGGTGGTCGGGGTCAGGGTTTGGGGAGGGTTGAGGGAAAAGGGTTTCGGGGTGCAGGGTTAAGTCTGTGTGTTGTAGGGTCAGGGGTATCGGCTGTCAGGTGAGAGGGTTTAAGTTTAGAGTTTAGGGTTGATACCGATTTTTGTTCAGGTTCTGCAGTTTTGAGGGTTGAGCGGTGCCACGACGTAACAACCGGACACTACTATGCCCTTGAAAAACCAATCCGTAAACCCCAAACCAGGCTTCCTGTTCTGGTTCTTCACTGGATTTGCTTGGGCCTGCGTGTGGGGCCGAAACCAAATACTGGAAGCACGCCGCGCGGCAGCGAGACGACGAAGGGAGGCCGCCTCGCGGGTGGTGCTGGGATGCGTCCGAAGCTTCTCGGCGGCAGGGTTTCTGAACCTCGGGTTTGGGGTTTAGGGTTTAAGGATGCTAGGGGGATCGTTTGGAAGTTTGGGGTACAGCGTCGAAGGGTTCTTAAGACCTATGGGGATCTAGGGGGCCGGGTAGACGGAGAGATAAGCTGGCCATAACAAGGTGAAGCAATACGCAGCAAGCTCTTTTCTCAGAATTCTGCTTGGGCATAAATGGCTCAGGGCCCGAGGTGGGGGTCTTTGACAAGGCTGACACTTGTGGTCTGCATAGAAACTAGGGATCCGGGATATCCCTTCCTAGGGCTCCACGTAATCTAGCACAAGTCGGGTCCACGAACAACCGCAGACGGCAAGTTCGAACAACTTCTACCAAATTGCAGACCTTAAGAGCATGTTCACCCACCCAAATCGTCGAATCCCCGGGACCGTGTCAAATGCTTGCAAGGCGGACATAGTTCTGAGTACTGTTCTTGGGGGTTCCTTTTTCCAGTTTCAGCAAACATGCTCCAAAACCCTATTCTCTTTAGTAAGGCCCCTATATCAACATTTTATATGCTTCTCTTAAGCCGCGGTAGACTTTCAGATTTCAAGAACCCTTACAGGAACCTTATTAAGAATTATGAAGGCCCATACAGACATGAAGCACGTGTCATCACCCTTTTAGGAAGCCTGATAATCACCCTTTAAGGAACTTTGGGCCCCTGCCTATACTATTTTTTGGGGGGGGTCCGTGTAGTATATAATAGAAACCAAAACACCAGGGCTCCTGCATTAAACGCGTTCTTAGCGCCAAACCCATACCTCTACTATTTTTATGTGTTTTGTTTGGGGGGGGGGGCGGGGGTCCTCATATTAACTAATGGTTATAATATACTCTTGAAGATGTTTCATCGTCCTATTCTAATTCTTAAGGCCCCTACCTTAAGGCCCGGAACCCCAGGATGCAGGCTCTTCGGCCGCGAAATTGACGAAGCGCTGCTTGTCTCGGAGGTCCTGGAAGCTCGGGATCATCGGCGCGTTGCGTCTGCACGCAGCGCGCAGTAGCTTTAGGATTTCTATACATATACGGTTTGTAGGGCTGATAGGCTTTGGCCCCCACTTCCTTGACATAGGGTTTATGTAGGGCTGTAGGGCTGCAGAGGCCCGTTGCGGTTTGTTTTGGGGGTTGGTTGTTCCTGCAGCCTCCCTGTCTGGGCAAGCTGGATGCCTCGGGTGACCTTATCACCCCGGGTGACCCTGTCACCCGAAGTTTCAAGCACCGGCGCCCCTGCAAGACACGAGGAGCTGTCCGATTGCAGAGCAAGTGCTCGGCCTTGTCGAGCACCGGCGTGCTGAGACTGTGCAGCCGTGGGTGCCAAGCATCGTGTCAGATACAGCTCTGTCTCAACACTGTAAGCCCTGGGTCCCTATAGAGGTGTCCTTACTGCGGTTTTGGCGCCCATGACTGTGGCGGAAGCTCGTCGAGTGTCGGGCATCATGCATAGGTCGGTCGTTGCATTTAAGGTGCAAGCTGCATGCTTGCTGCACGCCCCTCGTGAATGAAAAGATTTGCCTGGCTCAGAGGGCGACGCGCCTTACACAGGGGCTCGAAGAATTAACAATACTGTTCCGCCGAGTTCCCTATTGCACTTATCGTGGAGAACCACCCCCCCGAAATGCAATATTCCGCGTGCCTCCCGCGCTCTGTTTTCGGCTGGAGGTCAGTTGGGATTGAGTAGGAGTCTCCTTCGGAGCTCCATTATACAGCTTCATTACAGATCACTACTAGTACAGTTTATGAGTTTTGGTGCTTTGAGGTTCGGCGTAGGATCGTAGAGCACAGGCTTTTCGGGTTCCAAATAGCCCTAAAACCAATCTACCCAGCCCCAAACTTTCACGCCGACCCGAACGCTGTGAACCTCGCCTGGCTGGCTCGAGTTGTGAAAGCGTAAGCCCCTAAACCCTAAATGTAGGTTTTAAGGTTTAGGGGTTTTTGGGGGTCTAGGGATACATGAACTATCCCCAATAATATTCCTTGGTGGCCCTTCGTAAGATGGCAAAAAAACAGCGGCCCGAAGCAACGAGCACGATTCTTCCCTAGGGCTCCTGATCACAGGCTTGCGATTTCAGGCGGATCGGCAGCTAACCTCCACATCCGGGGCCTGGGACCCCGGCAGAGGCGGTTGAGCGTTTCGGGTCCAGGCTGTTCACTTTTCCGGCCTAGGGTATGGGGGTTTAGGGTTTAGGGGTTTAAGGGTGTTCCTGGCATATGCGTAGTCCAGGTGTAAAAAGGGGTTTATGGGTATGGGGTGTGGTTTCAGGATTGGAGTACATTTACATTGAGACGGGATTCTGGCAATTCAGGTTCAGGGGTTAGGCTTAGACTTGGAATGAAGTTTGTACTATTCTTTCACGGCATGGTTGTGGGCCCTGTTGATTGCAATGACACCGCGGCCTGTGTTCTTCTGAGGAGTATGGTCCCTCAAGAAGGCTTCAAGCTTGTGCCTCCTGTTGAATGATGCCAACCGGTCATAGGGAGCATTTCGGTAGATGTCTGCCTGTTTCCGTTATGGCCTAATAATCAAGGACGCATCCCTTCAGAAACAGTTGCTGGGGCCATGCTCATCAGGACCCTTACATGCGCAAGTGTCCGTTTCAAAATGCATTTCTGCATGTTCAACGAAAACAAGAGCCCAAACACCGTATCAGAACTCTTCCAGCGCCTCCTAGAGACCCCTCAGAGACGGTTTTGGGGGCCCTTGTTCCATAATGGTAGTAAAAATGGACCCTAAACCCTACGGAACCCGTAGAGGAACCCTTAGAGGAACCCTTAAAGCCTGAGCTGCTAAGGCAGATGCCATGGACTGGAGCTTCTCCGCCTCGGCACTCAGCTCGATGCCATAGTTCTGCTGCCCGAAGCGTCTACCCCCAACCCCGGCAGCCAGCCTTCATACCATTGTCCATGGTCTGACGTAGGGGCCTTAATAATTAGAATAGGGTTTTGAAGCCCGTTATATACTATAACTATAATAGGGAGTTCTTGTCCAGTTCAGTGGGCTCGAAGAATGACGGAGGTTCAGCGTGCGCACTTCGCCTCCTCATATTCTAGCCTGCGATTTCGTGCCCTTACATTGCAAGACTCTTGATGATGGCACAGCAGAGAGAGACAGAACACCCCCCCCCCCCCAAAAAAAAAAAAAAAAAAAAAGCATCCAAAAAAAATGCCCCATATTATCTCATAACAACACCGAAAAGTCTTGGGCAGTGAGAGGCCGCTTCGGTGGGCCTGCACCTCCATAGGCTCGACTGCAGGGTTGCAGCACTTGGACTCGGCTTAGGGTTGAGGGCTTAGGGTTTAAGGCTTAGAGCTTTTCGGGTTTGGACTTGGGGATTTCAAGTCGGGCTTATGGCCGTTTTTTTAGGGGCGGCGGACTTCAGATCAGAGAGCCCCTGCCGTAGAAAGCTCCTTTGCGCACGCCGTGGTCGTTCAGAACATTAGATTGTGGGGCCGAGGATGCTTTCCATTACTCTCGGTTTCATTCTCAACATAACACGGATGAGCAACTGAGCAAGTTGAACTGCCTGACTGATATAGATCGTCGGTCCTAAACCCTTTGGATGACCTCAGACCAAATGTTCGATCTCAAACTTTTGCTAAGCCACATCCGGGGGGTGCCTCGGTAGCAAGCTGACAGCTGAGCACAGCAGTCTGACCTTCAGGGCCGCTGTGCCCATGCAGTATGCACTTTGGCCCAAATTTACAAAAAGGTAGCCTCTTAGAGGCCTTTAAGCAAGCGGGATACAGCTACATGTTGCACGGGCCTTGAGGATAACTTTCTGTACGCGAATACGCCAGCAGTCAATAAATCGAAGAGTCACAAAAAAGCCCGGATCCAAATATTTAGTTTTTCGCGTTTACAGTTTTGACGAAGCCACCGGGACGCGAAACCGAGGAAAGTTGGCCAACCCATCAGAGTAACCTTTTAGGCTATAGATCTGGCCCTAAACCCAAAGTCTTACATAAACCCAGCAGAGGAAGGTGCCGAACTATTTAGTAACTATTTAGTAAAACGTAGCAATTATTCCTTGCGTTTCCTCATGGAAAACTACACCATGAGAAATCCCCAAGGCCTTGTTGAAAGTACTACGGTCCCTGTATTGCAGTAGCCTTCAAGGAACCCTACTCTAATTACGCAGGAGGCCCGCTGTATTGGCCCGGACAGCTTCCCTTAAGAAGTCGCAGTAGAGAGCACTGAGCAGGCAAGGGCCCAAGGAGCAGGCCAGCAGCCGCAGATTTATGTAGGAACCTGATTGAGACCCCTGGTCCTACAACCCCCAAAATAGTAGCATTCATAAAAGGAACCCTTAATAGAGGCCCAAAGTTTCTTAATCAGGTTCCTACATTATTTGGGGCACAGCTGGAGGTTGCTTCCGGGTTTGTGCTTTAAGGTTGGGGTTCAGGGTTTAGGGATTTGGACCCTTGCATACCCAGGGTTTGGCTGTTCGTACAGGAGGCAGGACAGTTTTGGAGCATAAGCCCCGAATACGCTGCCAACCTGCTAACGGTTCACATGTTTATGGCTATGGAGTCTGGACAGTCTAAGGTTCAAGGGTTGAGCTTGGGGCTGGCCGTGCGCACAAGCAGTTGCAGAGACCAGCTCCCTTGCTCCAAACTCAAGTCGCGAGATTTCTGGCTACTTCCTGGGACCCTAAACCGTACGTCTACGGTTTGTTTCTAGTTTATGGTCTGAGGAAGCTTCAGGCTTATGGATGTTTAGGGTTTAGACACGAAGTGTTGGAGCTCCAAACCTGTCCGAAGCACTTGAGAGGAGCCCTTGCCAGAGTACCTGACAAGTCAGCGGCCACACACAAAGAACTCATGCTGGTTTGTTGCTGCAACCCTGGATCAACCCCCAAATCTCCCGAACCCTAAAGCCCAACGCCTGGATTTTCCGAGTGTGAGTGCCGAAAGCCCTTAAGCTACAACCCCCCCAGAACCCGAAACCTTAAACTCTCAGCCGGAAATCCTCCGCTCTGTCTCCCCAGGCGCCAGCGGAGACTGAGCGGCCTAGTTTGGTGCTTAGCTGCCCGGATCGTCCCAAGCATTGGGACCAAGGGTGTAGGGCTTATTACTTGTTGAGGAGTTTTCGCTGGCACACAATCACAGCCCATGCTGAAAAGGGTTCATTACTTTCCTTACCGCCCTGAACGCAGGCCCCTAAGCTCCTTTAGGGTTTGCGGCAGGGTTTAACGGGCTGAAGCCAGGCTTTCAAGGTTCTGCAACGGGCGGCCCTAAGTCTACAGATATACTCTTTAGGTACATGGACCCTGAGGGTACGGCACCATTTTGGCGAAGGTTGCTTATCTGTATAAGCCCGAACCCAGAGGGTTGATTGGTTCAAGGCAAGTTTAGGGACTACAATCAACTGCCATGGCCTAGGTTTTGTGATGGCCCGGTGGGTTCTGTGCCTGGGCTTATGGTGAAACCCCGTAAGACATGATTCCTGACGTTCGTCTAAGATACAAGTCCAGAGTTCGACTGCCAATCAAGAGATCGAAGCCAGAAGTGTCAGGCAACTCTTGGTGTCTTCGTGCAGAAGGGTGGTTTAGGGGTTTGCCCGGAATGCTCGGTATCAAGAAACTTGAACTCGTAGAACTTGCCACCAGGCCGTATCACCAGTATAAGTTACAGGCCCAAGAGCTATATCAACCCTATCGATCAAAAGAAGCCCTACATCACTTCAAGCCCAAAGCCAAAAAGACCTATGCATCAGCCTATAAGCCCTGTATAAGCCCCATATATGCCCCATAAATCCTTAAAATTTGTTTATCCCTAAACCTGAAACCCCTAAGCCCTTAGATAAACTCTAAATAAGCCCCTAAAGCCCCGACAGCCCGGGGACAAAAAAGACGCGGAGGCCACGCCCCAGCCGCTTCGCCTCGCACTTCCGAGATGTTCGCGTCCGCTCGCAGTGAGAAGCCCAGCAAAGAACTCCCGTGGGCTTAGGGTTTTATAAAGTTGATACTCTGTGTTATGGGATTTTGTAGAGTTTATTATAGACAGG